GTCTGTGTTTGTGTGTGTGTGTGTGTGTGTGTGTATCAGGATTCAAGTGCATGTGAGTATGCTGTCATATTTAAGTGACTTTGAATCTGTGTTAATGTGTGTAACAGTGTTTGTATATGTGATGATATAGGTATGCCACTGTTTACATACCTGTGTTGCAAGAGTGACTGAATAGGAGTATGTGAGAGTATTTGAATAAACAGGTATATTGGGACAAAGGATATATATGAGTCTGTGTGTGAGTGACAGTGAATAGTTTTGCTGTGTGTATGCATCTGTCAGGATTTGAGAGTTTGCAAATGTGTGTGTGTGTGTGTGTGTGTGTCTGTTAGGAGAGTTATAATTGTGAATGTATGGGCCGTTGCACATGTATATGTATAAATGTGTGTGTCTGTATGTGAGTAATTCTCAGTCCTCTTATACCCAACACCCTCTTTTATGTAACATATTTTGTAGCACCTCTTTACTATCTTGACATGAAGTTCTTAAATAATATAACCTCTCTGCACATATAATTTCAAAAGAAAACCCATATAGTATTTTATACAATAGCCATATTGTATTAACTCTAATACAAATAAAAAAGAAATAAAAGGAAAGTGATTTATAAGAAAATAATTTGTATTTCAGTATGTAAATGCTTGGTCATGACACTCCCCAGGAGATTCAATGAAGTAATTAGAGGTATGTAACATAATAAGTAAAGGTGGATTAAGGAGAAGGGGAAAAATCAGAAGCTGCCCCTTGCAGGAAGAGCAGGAAAATGACAGGCAAGGCCTAAAGGTGAGATTTTTTTTTCTCCAAAATAGTGAACAACTGAAGGAAAGTGCTCCACAAAACAAAGTGCAGTCTCCTGTGGACTTATATAACAGCCACATTCCTGGATAATTCAGGGTACCATAAGTCCTCGCTTTAACATGGTGGATAGTTTCTTAGAACTGTGGCAAAGTGATGTGTAATAAAACCAGTTTTGCCATAGGCTAATTAATATAAGTGAGAATTAAGTTCCTACAGCATCTCATCAACTTATAACTAAACGGCATTGAATGAAACAGTATTCAATGACCTGCTGTATATTTTAAAAAGGGGAGAAATTGCATTTATCTATGAAATAGAGGTAGATTTCTAGGTTCAGTTCATTACAAGTCTAAAATCCTAGGGGATGTGGGACATATGTTCGCTGTGTGGGACTTCTCCGCCGATCACTGGATGGCCAGCATCCTCGTCCTGGACCTCTAAATGTTAGGACACCTTACACCCCAGCATTGTGACAACCAAAAATGCACCTACAAATTTCCAAAGTGGCCCCTAGGGGGCGATAACGCCTTTGTTAAGGACAAAGCACTGGCGTTTAGGCCGTGTACATTGTGCCTGTGTGACTGAGGCAGCGTACGGGATATACCCTCCGTGTGCGTGCACGCGTGCGTGTGTGTGTGTGTGTGTAAGCGTGCGCGCACGCACAAGACACACAATGTCCCTATGTGTGAGCTGGTTTCTGTCCACACGTCTCCATTGCAGTAGACTATGTGTCTGTGAGTGTGTAGGTATCTATGTATCTGTGTCTAAGGGCAGCTGGTCACGAGCAGGTGTGTTAGATGCGTGCACACACATCCTCAGCCTCCGATGGACCCAGGTTGTGGCTGCCAGTCTGTGCTCAGAAGAACCTTTTTCTCACGTATACAATTGCCCCAGCTTTCTAGGCAACACCAGAGTTTTGTTTACTTGCTGCTATTGTTTTTTGGCTCTTTGTTTTGTTTTAGTGTTTGTTTTCACCAAGACTGAGCTGCACATTATCCACCTTCTTGGCCTTAGTGTGTCTCTCTGTCTCTCCATCTGCCTCCATCTATCTCCATCTTTATTTCTGCCTCTCTCTGTCTATGTCTATGCCCTCTGTCTCCATCCCCTCTTTATCTGTATCTCACCCCCACCCCCATCTCTATTTCTCTATAACTTTCTCTTTCTTTCCTGGCATTATCCCTCCCCTTCTGTCTATCTACTTCAATATTTCAATATCTATCATCTATCTATCTATCATCTATCTATCTATCTATCTATCTATCTATCTATCTCTCTATCTCTCTCTCTCTGTCTCCCTCTCTCATTCTCTGTGTCTATTTTTCTCTTTCTCACTCTTGTCTCTCTCCAGCTCTCTGTTTCTCTGTCTCTCTCTTTTTTCTCACTCTCCTTTTCTCTTCTTCCCCTTTGTTTCTATTTCTACCTCTTCCTCTGTATGTAAGGCTTCCTTCTTCCTCTCTCTCTCTCTCTCTCTCTCTCTCTCTCTCTCTCTCTCTCTCTCTCTCGCCCTCTCTCTCCCCACCTCCACACCTGCCTCCCTTCTTCCCTCTTCTTTCTCTGTCTCTCTCTGCTCCTATCTCCTCTGTCACTCTCTGAGTCTCTCTGACTCCCTCTTACATTCAATTTCTCTCTCTCACTTTCTCCCTGCTTCCCCTCAAGGCTAAGGAGAGAGAGAGAGAGAGAGAGAGAGAGCATATAAACACACACCAGCTGTTTGTCAGCTGGTCCACAGTTATGTGTGGGCTATCAGGCTTTGAGGGGCCAACCAAAAGGGACCCGCCAGCCCCATTTCTTCTGATCCCCTGCCCCAGCAACTTCTCTTGGCCTACTGGCACTGGCTCTGAGACTTCAGGGTGCCATGCACTACCCAGGCTGCTCTTTCAGAAAATCCTACCTGGATGCCTAAGGCAGCCCTCCCTGAACCACCAACATATTTAGTCCCTCAACCAATTGATGGACAGCTTTGGACTGAGGGCCTACCATGTGCTATGCACCACTCTTCTAAAGGAGAGTTAATGAATCTATAAGCCTTGCCCTATGGAGCTTTTGTTCTTATAGGGAGAGGCAGGGAATCAACTAGATTTTAAAAGTAAATTATACAGTGTGTTAAAAGAGATAAATGCTAGGAAAAGAAATCAAGCAGGGTAAAAGGCATGAGAGTGCTCTTATTTCTCACCTGGATTAGCGCAGGAGCCTCCTACATAGTTCGCCTACTTCCACCTTTGCCTCCATGGTCTGTGCTCCTCACAGCAGCAAGTGGGGATCCTGTTCAATCCTGAGTCATATCACATCTCACCTCTGCTCACAACCCTCCCATGGCTCCCGTCTCACTCAGAGTAAAAGTCACAGTCTTCACCATGGCCTACATGATCTGGCCTTGCCTCTCACCACTTTGCTCTTGTTCACTTGGTTCCACCCATGTGGCCTCCTTGTGCTTCTTCAAACACACCATATGGGGCCGGCCGAGTGGCTCAGTTGGTTAAGAGCTCGCTCAAGAGTTTGAGCTCTGAGCAACAGCAGTTCGAGTCCAGCCCGAGCTGAGCAGCCGCTGAGCTGCCAACAGGTAGCAGGATGGCTCAGCTAAAAAAAAACAACACACCATATGAGGTCCCACCTCAGGGCCTTTGCTCTGGCTGTCCCCTCTGCCTGGATTTCTCTTCCCCCACATATCTACATGGCTGTCTCACCTCCTTCACATCTTTGCTCAGATGACACCTCCGTGAAGCCTTCCCTTTCCACTTCTTCTAAAATTGCACCTCCTGGTCAGCCGAGTGGCTCAGTTGGTTAAGAGCTTGCTCAAGAGTGCAAGCTCTGAGCAACAGGGCCGCCGGTTCGATTCCCACATGGGTCAGTGACGCTGTGCCCGAGCTGAGCTGCTGTTGAGCTGCCAACAGGTGGCAGGATGGCTCAGCTAAATAAATAAATAAATAAAATTGCACCTCCCTCACCCCTAATACTTCCTATCTCCTTTCCCTCCTTTTTTATTTTTAGGAACTTACCAACATCTGACCTACTATACTTGACCTCTGTACCGTCTTCATTATCTAGAATGTCAACTCCACAAGGGCAGGGAGCTTTGTCTGGTTCACAGCTATATCTCCAGTGCCTGGCACACAGTAGATACTCAATAAATAGTTTTTCAATGATACCTACATCTTTATATTCACACATACTCCCTACCTCACTTAAAATAAAAACCCAAGTCTTTGTCCTGGCCCACAGCACTACATGACCTGGCCCTGGACACCTCTGTAACCTCACCTTCTAATACTGTCTCCCTCATCTGCCCCATTCCAAGCACACTCTTTTTCTTGCTCTTCCTTGAGCAGGCTAAGCACATTCCTGATCATGAATAAAGAAATCTATTTAATGAATGGCTACTAGCATTAACAAAAAAAACCCCACAAAATAGAATAGAAATTAATGGGGGGTACATTAGACACAGACTTAGCACTGTTTCGTGAAACTTTTGGTTCAGCTGTGTGTGCATGTGTGTGTATGTGTACCAGGTTGTCATTTAAAATACATTTCTTACTATGGGTGGCAGTCAAAAAAGTTTGAAGAGCACAACCTTAGGCCTTTGTAAAGAGGGAGAAGAGCCACACCAACATCCCCGCCCCATAGACCTACCAATGGAGGAAACAGGTAACGAAGGATGTTAGCAGAGATCAAGCACTTTCACCCCGAGATGGGGGTTGGGGGTAGGAACAGCAGTGGGCCAGGGCCAGGGCCTGACACCAGAGGGGGGCAGAAAGTGGGAGGGTGGAGCTGCGTAGACACACTAACACTGCCCTGTTTCTTCCTCACCTTTCCATCTGTTTCTCTCTCTCTCTCTCTCTCTCTCTCTCTCTCTCTCTCTCTCTCTCTCTCTCTCTTTCTCTCTCTCCCTCCCTCTCCTCCCTCTCTTTCTCTCCCCCCTCCCTCCTCTCCTTGTCTGTCTCCTTGTCTCTCTCCCTCTCTGTCCCTCTCTCGTGCTTTCTTTTCCCCTTTCCTTGTATCTCTGGTTCTGTCTTTCTATCTCTTCTTATTCTTTCTCATCCCCTCTATTTCCGTCTCAATTTCTATCCATTTATATATCTGTCACCATTTCCTGTCTCTTTGTTCTATCCTTTCTCACTCTCTGTGCCGATGTATGTGTTTTTCTCTCTGTCTCTCTCCTGCCCTCATCTCTGTGTCTGTGTCTCCCTCATTACCCCCATTTGCAGGTGCAGCCCAGCACGACACCTGATGGAGTCCCCCCGGGCCCATGAAGTACCCAACTGGCTGATTCCATAGGGCTGGGAGCAGCCCCTGCCCCTCATTATGGCCAACACCACTGGAGAGCCTGAGGAGGTGAGCGGCGCACTCTCCCCGCCATCGGCATCAGCTTATGTGAAGCTGGTGCTACTAGGACTGATCATGTGTGTGAGCCTGGCAGGCAATGCCATCTTGTCCCTGCTGGTGCTCAAGGAGCGTGCCCTGCACAAGGCTCCTTACTATTTTCTGCTGGACCTGTGCCTGGCCGACGGCATTCGCTCTGCTGTCTGCTTCCCCTTTGTGCTGGCTTCTGTGCGCCACGGCTCCTCATGGACCTTCAGTGCGCTCAGCTGCAAGATTGTGGCCTTTATGGCTGTGCTCTTTTGCTTCCATGCGGCCTTCATGCTGTTCTGCATCAGCGTCACCCGCTACATGGCCATCGCCCACCACCGCTTCTATGCCAAACGCATGACGCTCTGGACATGTGCAGCCGTCATCTGCATGGCCTGGACCCTGTCTGTGGCCATGGCCTTCCCACCTGTCTTCGACGTGGGCACCTACAAGTTTATCCGTGAGGAGGACCAGTGCATCTTTGAGCATCGCTACTTCAAGGCCAATGACACACTGGGCTTCATGCTTATGTTGGCTGTGCTCATGGCAGCCACACATGCTGTCTATGGTAAGCTGCTCCTCTTCGAGTATCGTCACCGCAAGATGAAGCCAGTGCAGATGGTGCCAGCCATCAGTCAGAACTGGACATTCCATGGCCCTGGGGCCACCGGCCAGGCTGCTGCCAACTGGATCGCTGGCTTCGGCCGTGGGCCCATGCCACCAACCCTGCTGGGTATCCGGCAAAATGGGCATGCAGCCAGCCGGCGGCTGCTGGGCATGGACGAGGTTAAGGGTGAAAAGCAGCTGGGCCGCATGTTCTACGCGATCACACTGCTCTTCCTGCTCCTCTGGTCACCTTACATCGTGGCCTGCTACTGGCGAGTGTTTGTGAAAGCTTGCGCCGTGCCCCACCGTTACCTGGCCACCGCTGTTTGGATGAGCTTCGCCCAGGCTGCCGTCAACCCGATCGTCTGCTTCCTGCTCAACAAGGACCTCAAGAAGTGCCTGAGGACTCATGCCCCCTGCTGGGGCACAGGAGGTGCCCCGGCTCCCAGAGAACCCTACTGTGTCATGTGAAGCAGGCTGGTAGGCAGACAGGCAGGGAGAAGGTCACGGCCATCATGATGGGGCCAACAGAAAGGGAGGGGTAGAGCCCCATACAGGAGCTTTTCTTTCTGAGCTCCAGCCCAGCCCCTTGAACCACCCAGAATCTAGGCACCTTTGCCTATACCTCCCTCAGGATGGGGGACTGGGAAAGAGGTGTTTCTAGTTCTAGGGCCTGTCTCCGCTGCCTCCTTTTCCACTTCTACAATCTCTCTCCTTTTCTCTCTCTCCTTCTCTCTCTTTCTCTCTCGCTCTTGCTCTCGCTCTCTCCAGTTCAGAAAAAGAAAACAAAACTGAATATGCAGGTTTTTCTACTAACAGCTGAGGAGACAGGCTTTCTTGCTTTAATGTCTCTCCTTCTGACATTGTCCAGAAGGGGGAAATTTGTCCTGTAAAATAGACTTCCAGAGCTCTTCTGGCCCCCTCTGCTCCCCTACACCCTCCCCTTCCAAGTCCTTTAGCAGGGCCTGGATGTTTAGGGAGAAATTGATCTGATGACAAGAGGGACCACAGGGGGTGCAGGGCCCCTAGGGAGCAGGGATGTTTAATTGCTATGTTGTGTGCAATGTTGTTTTAGGCTAACCCTGGTCCCAAGCCCGGTCTCCTCTTGCTTCCCACCATGTCCAGACATCCCAAGTGTTTCTTGAGCACCTGTTTGAGAAGCCAGGAGGGGAGGGAGAAGGGTCCTCAGGATGTCCCAAGCTAGGTGAAGAGCAAGATGTGAGCTGCACGTCTGGAGCGGAAGAGACCTGAGCTTGGCTGCATTCTCGCAAGTTGCCTCCTGGATCTCCTGCCCCCAACTCTTCTTCCTGAGGATGGAAATCCACTCCAGCCCCACTAGGGCTGATGTGGGTGCCATACAGTCAGGGGCATCCCCGCAAGGAAGTGTAGGGAGAGAGCCAACCTCCCCAAAGTAGCTGGATCCCAGAGCCTGGCATCAGAGCGGAATTCAACCCCAGAATTGTCTCCTGGGTTCACGCTACTCTCCCTAAGATGAAAATTCTTCTGGGGCCTTGGTATCTCATAGTGATATAAGCTCCAAGGCACTGTGGACTTGAGTCCATTCTTATCTGACCTCTTTGTCCTCTTCAAGCCTCAGGGGCCTCAAGCCCCTCCATGGTAGCCCTTGGTCTTCTGTGCCCTCAGCCCCCTGACTTCCTTCCCATGAACAGCCCTTCCTTCTCCCCTTTCCTCCCTCCACCCTTACTTCCCCACAATGCGGAGCAGACTGCAGCCAGATTCCCTAGGTGAGAGAACTCCAGCCTCCCTCCCGGGGCAGGGTCCACTCTGGCATAAGTTCAAGGCCAGTTCTTGTGGCCGGGGGAGCCAAGCTGGCGCTCCTTTGCCTGGTCTTGCCCAGGTTCTCTGTCCCCTTCTCATTTCCTGGTGGAGGGGGAGATCTGTATTTATCCACTTCCTCTTTCCCTTCCCTTAAGCCTTTGTCCTAAGCTCCCGTCCTACCCCAATACAGACCCAGAACTGGGGAAGCCTTGACCCCAGAAGAATGGGGAGGGCACTCTAGGCAGGAGAGATATTAATGAGCCTGGTTGTGGAGTGGCCCTGGAAAGGCAGGCCAGAGTGGCTGAGAGGCTAGGGGTGGGGTGATACCTGTTCTCTCAGCGATAGTGATGGGGGTGCCTTTTCCAGGGGGTGGGGTGGGGGGTCCAAAGGGGTGGGAGTAGATAGGGTACATTTAGGAGGGTTTTCCTCCATTTCTTTTTTCTAACTGCCTGGATTCACCACTGGATTTTGTAAATGGAAAACTGAAATGAACAATGCTATATTGGATGTTTTCTCTTTCTGACTGACTGACTGTGTGTGTGTGTGTGTGTGTGTGTGTGTGGTGTGCCTGTGTAGCCTGTCTGCGTGAACACATGTGGGGAGATATGATCTAGTGAGGCAGAGTGTGTCTGTGTAACTTTGTGCAGGGTGGTACCCCTGCCTGGCACACACATATGAGCAAATACTGGTATGTGGAGACATATATGGCACGGGCACACACTCATACACATAGGCATCTAATTGAGAGTAGACAAACAAGAGTATGTGCCTGCAGCAGGAAGTAGAGTGGTCGGAGAGATGGAACTTGAAAAACGTACATATGGCTGTAGCAAGGGGGTAGACTCCCATCTCATCAGATCTTCTTCCTTTGGCCCAGGCTCTGAACATGGTGGACAGGATACTTGAGAACCCCATCTCTTCCCAAAGCCTGGAGCCCCCTGGTACCACTCCCAACTCCTGTATCCGTCTCCTCTCTAAAACCCAAACAAGGTGTTCCTGACACTGGACCACCATGAAAAATGGGGACTGGGAATTAGGGATCCAACTTGGCAGGGACTGATGGGGTTAGGAGATGCACCCCGCACAAAATAATGGCTTCTGGAGGGACTACTCATTCTGGGATGGGAGCCCTTCTGAAGGATCCACTGTACACAGCTGGGACTTTGGTAAGCTTTGACTAAATTCAGAGGGAGGGATGTCACAGTGTTTGTGGTGGGGGGAACCCAAGCCTGGGAGTCTACCCAGCCAGCCTGTTGCCTGGGCACTCAATTACTTTACTATTTATTTACTTATTCTCTCAGGTGCACAGAATTGAGTTGACCATACTCCTCAATTCTTGGCACACTATATCATCATTGATCCATGTGAAGCCCTTTTGGTCTTTAATTTGTTTTATTTTGTCCCCTTCATCACCTATCCCTGATCCCATCCTCCCTCCTACATAGGCACCCACTCGCGTGTATTTAACGTATGTCTTTCCAATCCACCGTTCATGTGTTTATTTACATATATGTGTATCTGTGGAAAATATATAGTATTGTTATGTGTTTTAATTTACATAAACAGTATTGTACTATAAATCTTGTTGTTTCTTTTTTCACTCAACATTCTGTTTTTGAGAGTTCCAGCCATGTTGCCTTATGTAGATCTAATTCATTCTAGTGGTCCATCGTATACACATATATCACATTTTTCTTATCCATTCCCCTGGTGATAGGTCTCTAGTTTACCTCCAGTTCTCTGCTATCACAACAAGACTGCAATGGCAGTTTCCTACACTTCTCTTTAGAGATACCTTATTTAGAGGAGAGGAATCTGAAGCTCAGAGAGAGGCAGTGATTTGGTGAGGGTTACAAAGATAGAAATAGATCCATGATTTGAATTCCAGACCAAAGCCAGAACCCCACCACCATGCCTCACCTGAGACCGTCCACCTGGCCAAAAAATAATCTCAAATAAATTAAAAACAGCATACACTGGGGAAACGGAGAGGAAAGGAGAATAATCGAGTAGATGAAGAGGAAGTCCTAGAAAAATCTAGCAGATGAACTGAATCACATCATTTTAATGACGCATAGGAATTTATTTTTTTTGCCTGATTATTATTTCTAGAGCCATTTTGCAGAGATGGAAAATGCCACGTCAAAACCTGGCCCCAAACCAAAGACCCTAGGTTTCTAAATTCCAGTCTCGTTCAGGGCAACCCGAGCCCCTAGGGGCCACATCAGAGTTTGCAGCGGGGCAAAACCCGGGGACAGGGATAGGTACAGGGGCCGGGGCAGAGGCAGATTTAAGAAGTGCGTAGTTGCTGAAGGGAGGGGAGGAGAGGAGAGGGGAGGGGAGGAGAGGAGAGGGGGGAGGGGAGAACGACAGCGAGGCTGTCCAATTTGATTTGAGCATGTCATGCTCAGCGCCTGCGTGTGTGTGTGTGTGTGTGTGTGTGTGTGTGTGTGTGTGAGAGAGAGAGAGAGAGAGAGAGACACGCGTGCGCGCCTGTGAGAAAGAGAGAGAGAGAGAGAGACGCGTGCGCGCCTGTGAGAGAGAGAGAGAGAGGGAGGGAGGGAGGGAGAGAGACACACGCGTGCGCGCCTGTGTGTCCGTGTGTGTCTTCAGAACCACTGGTACTTTTCCCATTGGATAAAATGTTGAAAGAGGGCTTCCTCCCCTCAGCTTTCCTCACAGCCAATTGCCCCGCAGTTTCCCTCTGGTCGCCTGGGGGAGGGGGAGGGAGGAGTCAGCCTGATGATTGGCGAGCCCAAGGGGAGCCAATGGGAAAGTGATGAGGTGGGGTGTTGGCAAGCCGATTGCGTGAGAGCCAGCAGAGGTCGAGGGAGAGCAAGGGCCGCCGCGGCGGCCGGCAGCCAATGGTAAGGCAGAACGGGACCCTGACGCCAGGGCGGGGGCGGGGCCTGGGCGCTTGGCGCGGAGGGAGCGGGGCAGGCGCTGTGGGAGGGAACACGAGAGCGAGGCTGTGAGCCGAGCTGGTCGCGCTGGGCACAGCTGCTCCGCTTCAGGTGTGAGAAGCAGCGGCGGTCTGGCTGAGAGCGAAAGGGCTAGCGCGGTTCTCTGAGCGGTGTGAGCGCGGTCACCATGGATCGACCCGATGAGGGGCCTCCGGCCAAGGCCCGCCGCCTGAGCAGCTCGGAGCCCCCTCAGGATGACCTGCCGCCGCCGCCACCGCCGCCGCCGCCGCCGCCGCTCCTGCGACTGCCCCTGCCTCCACCGGAGCAGCGACCGAGGCTCCGGGAGGAAACCGAGGCGGCACAGGTGCTGGCTGACATGAGGGGGGTGGGACTGGGCCCCGCTCTGCCCCCGCCGCCGCCCTATGTCATTCTGGAGGAGGGGGGCGTCCGCGCATACTTCACCCTGGGTTCTGGGGGTCCCGACTGGGAGCCTGTGATCGATTCCGAGTACGGGGGGGCGCCCCCTCCCATGGAGAGCCTGGAAACACTCTCTCCTTCGGAGGCTTCAGGGGGAAGCCTGGAAATCGACATTCAGGTTACGGAGCCCAGCAGCTTTGTTGGAGAGAAGGCCCTAGAAACCTGTAGCGCAGGTGGGTGGGGGTACCAGATGTTAGCTGGTCCCCAGGGGAAGCAAGAGACCATCATCATAGTGGAAGATGACGAGGAGGATGAAAAGGAAAGTGTGAGGAAGAAGAGGAGAAGGAGGAGGAGGAGGAGGAAGCAGAGGAAGGTGAAGAAGGAAAGCAAAGAGATGAATGCAGAGAAGATAGAGTGCATCCTGCAGGCACTGGAAAACATTCAGCTGGACCTGGAGGCGGTGAACATCAAGGCAGGCAAGGCCTTCCTCCGTCTCAAGCGCAAGTTCATCCAGATGCGAAGACCTTTCCTGGAGCACAGAGACCTCATCATCCAGCATATCCCAGGTTTCTGGGTCAAAGCAGTATCCTTGTCATCTATACTCATGGGCCAGGAGCCCATGACAGAAAGGGGGGAGGTGGGGGCAGGGACAGGGTGAAAGGGTGTGGGGGCGGGCCTCTATTGAAGGGTTAGGTTTGGTGGAGGAGGGATGGAAGGAAGGGGACAAAACATCAGAGACGCTGGACTAGAAATGGTGAAAGGGGGAGGGTGGCACACAACATAAAAACTGGACCACAGATGGGAAAGGGGAAGAAGAAGAGCATAACGAAAACATGGATCACAGACGGTGAAAGGGGTAGGGTGGTAGAGGGGCACACAGCAGAAAAATTGGACCAAAGATGGTGAAATGAGGGGAGGGGAACACAGTACATAAACTGACTCAGACAGTGAAGAGGGAGGAGAAGGGCACATAGCAGAGAAATTACCCAGAAAGGGTGCCTAACTCACACATGCTTCTGCAAGCCTAGGTCTTTGCCTAGATACTAGGGAGACCTTAATCATAGCTGGAGAGACGGGGGCTAGAAAGGGGCTGGATCCCCTGAGGGGTCAGGGGAAAGAGTGCCTAGGAATGGAGATGAAGGAGTTAAATGAAGAAAAGAGGAGAGTAAGAAAAATCCCATTCACTACTGGTGATAACCTCATCTTGGGGACATACATACAGACATGCAACATGTTAGGAACATATAGGTTTAACATCCTAACAAAGTTACATGGATACAGACCCTTGGCACTCTCATACAAAGTATTCATGATCGCATAACATGTAGACACAGGCACATAACACCCAAATATACAACGTGTGACTACAGGCCCTCAGCAACCAGATACAGCATCACTTGGACATGGTCCTTCAGCCCCCCAAATACACAATATCTTAGGAACACAAGCCCTCAGCACCCAGAGGCACATCACACGAACAAAGACCCTCAGCACCCAGAAACACAGCAAATACAAACCATGGCAAGACCAACTACCAGAAGTTTAACATAGCATAAACACAGGCTTTTACCACATAGTGTCATGGAAATTAAAGTACAGGTCATGTCCCATGACCCACTTGTTGTACACACATCACATAAACACAGAAGGAATTCTGCTCCAGCCTCTCTTTTGCTCTGCCCTGCCTGGCCTGGCCTTCCTGGCCTGTCCTGCCTGGCCTTCCCTCCCTCCTCTTAATGAACAGTCACTCCTTGACCTAAACTGCTCCCTCCATCAGTTCTTCAACCACCCCAAAATTTCAATCTTGATCAACCAACGTGATGAAGACATTTTCCGCTACTTGACCAATCTGCAGGTCAGGCCAAAGAGACTTTTTACTAGACCGGGCAAGAAATCTGGTCCTTGGAGGTGAGGGGGGCTGGGAGGGAAGGGGCCACTGAGTGGTGGAGATTCCATCATTACCCCCACCCTGAGCAGGTACAGGATCTCAGACATATCTCCATGGGCTACAAAATGAAGCTGTACTTCCAGACAAACCCCTACTTCACAAACATGGTGATTGTCAAGGAGTTCCAGTGCAACCGCTCAGGTAAGAGGCAGTCCCAGGGGAAATCCATGCCCCCCACCTACTCTTGTCCAGTGCCCTCTCCATAGCCTTCTTTACCCCCAGGTCGGCTGGTGTCTCACTCCACCCCAATTCGCTGGCACCGGGGCCAGGAACCCCAGGCCCAAAGGCACAGGATCCAGGATACCAACCACAGCTTCTTCAGCTGGTTCTCAAACCACAGCCTCCCAGAGGCCAACAGGATTGCTGAGGTGGGGCCTCGCCCGGCATTACCAGAAAAGGCCTTGCTAGGTTTGCCTCTGGGTGCCTGAGGCATTGGGAGTAAGCTCTGGGGCTTACACTTATAGTTCTGTTCTCCCTTCTCCCTTCTCTTTCAACAGATTATCAAGAATGACCTGTGGGTTAACCCTCTGCGCTACTACATGATGGGAGAAGGGGGCTACAGGGCAAACAGAAAGAAGCAAGAAAAGGAAGAAAGGTGATGGGGGGTTCGAGGCTGAGAGGTGGTTTGTTAGTGTCACAAAGGATTTCTAGAGCCAAAAGGGACCTTTGAGATAATTCTGTCTAATGTGTTTTATAAGTAGGAACAAAAGCCCCCAAATGGGGTGTGATTGGCCTGAGGTTACACAGTCAGGGGAAGAAATGGGACTCCCCCCCCTGCCCCAGTTTCATCCCTGGGAGCCCTTATAGCTTACTGCCTCCCCAGTTGCTTACCACCTTTCAGTGTCTGTCTTGAGTACACTACCTCCCACCAACCCTATATTCAACCCCAGGCTTTTCCACAGTAAAAACAGGGATGAATGTGAGGTGGTGATCATGGAAGACTTTGATGACTATCACATAATGGAAGACATTATTGGTGAGACCTCAGACAGTGATGTTATCACCGACAATGATACCATTCATGACATCAAGATCTCTGACTTCATGGAGACCACCGACTGCTTCGAGACCACTGACAATGAGATAACTGACATCAGCGAGAGCCTCTGTGACAGTGAGAGCCCAGACCACAATGAGACCACCGACATTGAGAGCCCTGATGACAATGAGACCACTGACAACAATGAGAGTGCCGATGAAAACGACAACCCTGAAGACAACACTGATGACAAGGAGAACCCCAGTGGTGATGACAAGAACCCTAAAGATGGCAGCCACGGCAACAACCAGGACAGCAGCGACAGTGACAATGAAGGAGACAACGAGGCCAGTGATGATGAAGATAATGATGGCAACGAAGGTGACAATGAAGGTAGTGATGATGATGGCAATGAAGGTGACAATGAAGGTAGCGATGATGATGACAGAGTCATTGATGAGTACGAGAATGATTTTGAAGACTCTGACAAGAATCAGGATAAGAACAATCTGGATGACTATGAGGATGAGGTAGAAAACATCTTCGAAGACTCATCAGTGGAGGAAGAGGAAGAGGAGGGCAGTGAGGAAGGTGAGCTAGAATTCCCTCTTGTCTTCCCCCTTTTATCTTCTCTCAGAGAAAAGCGGACCAGGATCAGGGTATCAAGGCATGAGAACAGTCTGCTCTTGTAGAGAAAAGAAAAAAAATACATTCTGTGCAACTTTTAAAACAAAGCAAGACCAGGGAACATTTAACAAATGTAACAAAACCAAAGAAACAAATTTCAGTTCTAGGTGATGGGTAAATTGTAACAGCAAAAGACAAAGAGGAGGGCGGAGATAGGAGAGAGTGGGTAGAACATTAAGTACTGGTTCACACAGAGAGGGGAAAGTAGCAAACACGTTGCAATTCAGTACAGCTTGTACCCAGCCCTGACCTTCTGGGAACTCTCAGGCCTGTTTGGGGGAGTTGGGGGGTGAAGTGACCATTGTGCTCTGTGACCCCAGAGGAGGAAGCAGCTAATTCTACCTCAAGAGTGGGGAAGGGGAGAACTAGAGAAAGGAAGTGACATTTAAATTGGAAGCTGAATTCATCTTAAGGAGAATTATGGTTTATTCTCACTGGAAGTGATCACATGAACAAGGACCTGGAAGGGTGAAAATGTATGGCATGTTGGGCATGGTTTCCCAAACTGAGGACCCTTTATCAGCTCTGAAAGGTGCTTCTCACAAAAAGGTTCAGTAGTCAAATATGTTGGGGAAATACTGCATACAGTAATATCTTCATGTAGAGTCACATGTACATTAGTACCTTAAAGGTTCTGAGAAGTCCTGCTGTAAGAAACCTATTTAAACTTTGTGGAACACAGCATTTCCCAAACTTCCTGACCACAGAAGCCATTGTTCACTGCTCACCAAAGAATGCATTTTGGGAAATGCATGTAGGTTTGAGGGGGAAAGGCGGTGTTAAAGGTGACTCCCAGGTTTGGTTCTGGCCTGGATGATGGGCGTAAGGAGGTGCCATTTCCTGGGATGGGAGACTGCATGGTGGTGAGATTGGTGGAATGGAGGGAGAAACACGGAGTTGGAAGGGCTTATTAGACATAAGGTGGGCCTCTGGGGGAGGTGGAAGGAAGCAGGAGGACCAATCACTCCTGGAGGTTTTGGCCATGGGGTCCCTGGAAAACTTCAATTGAGGGTAGGGGCAAAGGGAACAAGACAGGAGGCATTAAATAAATAGATTCAACCTAGACATTTTCTGGGAGAGTAGGCAAGCTGAGGGAGTTGCTGGCCCCATCTCCTCCCACTGGATGGCGTCTCTTTTTTCAGAGGAGAGGCAGAGCTATCTGCCCAGCCTTAGTGCAGATGGGGAATTGGATTGAAGAAGACAGACTTGGGCCTGTTTAGATCAGGCTGGGGAGAAGGAGCAAGAGAGCTGCTTTGGGATGAATACGTTTATTCAGCTGAAGTCAGAGCACAGGAAGAGGCACACATTGATAACATACAGGGGGATCTCCAAAAGCTACTTTCAGATGTAAATATCAATTTTTTGATAGGACAGAGGCAGGGAGCCCACCCTACCTTCCAGTGCTTCCCTTCCACTCTCCCTCACGCACACCCACCCACCCACCACCACCCCTGCTTGTTCCAAGCAGAGGTGCTTGGCAAGTGGTCCCAGGTCCCCCAACAGCCGTGGTTAATGGGCTCTGTTCGGTTAAGAGAGACATCTACCTGCCTATCTAATCCTCCTCCATTTCCCGGTCCGTGCTTCTCTCTCCCCTGTGTAGGCAGCGAGCAAGCTGGTGAGGACAGCGATGATGAGGAAGGAAGCGAGGAGGAAGAGGGAATTGAAGAAGACTCTGAAGATTCAGACATGGAGGAGGTGCTTCAGGTCCAAAATGCTTGGGCCAGTGGGGGGAAGAGGGGCAAAACGGGATAAACAAACATCTCACCCTTGCCCTTGAGGGGGCTGCCTCTGTATTCCTCTCCCTCTACCCTATTTGCCCACCCCCTCAGCTAGGGCCTTGAGGCCCCACATTGCACTTCTGGGGGGTGACCGACTTCGTACACGGGTTTAAAGTTTATTTTTATGGTTTAGTAAATTGCAGAGTTCTTATTTTGGGAGGAGGGAATGGGGGATTCCCCCCTTTGGCCCTCCTCCCCCGCAGGCTTCTGTGTGCTGCTATGTATTTATTGTGATGCCTTGGTCAGGGCCCCTCTATCCCCCTCCTCGTGCTGTATGGAGTGGACACCCTTGATCCCGAAGCGGGGAGGGCCGCTGTGGCCTTGGGGGGGCTCTGCTGCCACCCTGTTCTCCCAAGTCTCTCTCTTTCCCTCACCTTTCCCAGCTGTGCCCGCTAGCCCGCCTCGGTGTCTATGCAAGGCCGCTTCGCCATTGCGGTATTCCTGTTCCCCCTCCCCCAGAAGTCCCCACCTCGTTCCCTGTTAACCCTGGTAATCCTAATAAAATTCTGAGCAAATTCAAAGTGCTGCTTCGAGGTTTTTTTCTGCCCAGTGCTCCGTCCCCAGCAGCCAGTTGCCCTTGCTACAGGCCCGCAGGTAGCCGCCTCCTCTACGCACTGGTCTGCAGGATGGTAGTTGCTGGTAGTTTTTGGGGGGAGGGGCGGGAGGGGGTCGCTGGCTGGGCGCGAGCTCGTCAAGACCGCAAAAGTATGGCGTCAGGCCAATGCGGACCATCCTGGCCAATGGCAGGGCGAGGCTGAGGAAGTGAGGAAGCCCCTCCTCCCGGTGGCCGCAGTGCCAGGTAGCAAACAGCTTCCCACGTCTTCCCCGCTCGCGCACGCGCGCAGAAACTGCGCAGTAGAACATCCATTTATTCAGTGATTCATCTTTTTATTTATCGTGCGTCAAACCTTTCCTCGGGCCTTATGTGAGCTGGGCGTAGTGGGACAGCCAGAGGAATCCATTTTTCTCCTCATGTAGTAGGAAAAAAATGATATCGGTCGGGACATTACAACCAATAATGCAGGAGTGTTCTCTTGTCTTAGGGAGGGTGTGCAGGCTTCCTGGATCTGGGCCTGGGAGAGAAGGCAACTGAAGATGGCTAAGGCCGAGGAGTTCGCATAGAGATAAGGGAAAAGCAAAAGGAGATTACTGTTGCTGTGTGATGCAGGGGAGGGGTGGTGGTCCGGAGTTGGCAGTCTGAAAATCAGGCTTTATCTGGGAGACCTTAGAAAGGCTAAGTTGTTTTAAATTTTGGATACAGTAACTTTATATTCAACGGACACCAGAAATACCTCCCAGATTCTTTCTGGGTCATAATGACAACTTATGTAGCCATCCGGGTCATCTTCTGCAATATACCTCCAGAACTTTCCATCCAATGCCTTTATTTTGCTGGAAGGATTCAGATTTGCGTTTTTACAGAATGCCCTCTGCTGGCTGCCAGCTGAATGGATTGGAGGGAGGGAGAGCAATGAGCAAAACTAGACCTCAGGTTGAGAGTGGCGGGATGGGGGCAGATACAGGAGGGTTGTTTAAATATATATATATATATATATATATATATATATATATATATATATATATATATATATATATATATATATAAATTTTAGGAGTTTTAGATTTATAGAATTACTGCAAAGATAATACAGAGAGTACCCATACACCCTGCAGACAGTTTTCCCTAGTGTTAACATCTTTTTTTTTTTGAAAGATTTTTTTTATTGGGAAGTTGGGGGAGGAGAACAGAGCTGGGGAATGGGGGGAAAGGGAACAGACGAGTTTCTGTCCTTTTGTTCTTCACTCTAGTTGTGGAGGACGTCGCTTCACTGGCCCAAGCTGGCACCATCATTGCACACTTCCCGGGCGAGGCAGATCAGTCGCCGGCTTCTGGATGGCCACTCACTGCGGCTGCTGGCCGCTCACGCTGGCTGCTGGCTACACACGGTAACCCATGGCAACCCACTGCCACAGGGGCTGCAGCCTACCCATCGCCAGCGCCTCATAGCAGCCCAGCTCCAGGTTGAGCTGTTGTTCAGCATCTTAGCTGTGGAGGGCAGTGTCACTGGCCCTCATATGTGCGATCCGAACTGGGGCCCTCTGCGTCCCAAACCAGCTCTTAACCAACATGCCACTCGGCCGGCCCTAGTGTTAACATCTTACATTAATTAGTATGATACATCTGTCACAATGAACCAATATTAATACGTTATTGTTAATGAAAGTCCATACTTTATATTTTGTTAAATTTTTAAAAGATTTTATTGGGGAATTGGGGGAGGGGGGAGGGGAACAGACAAGTTGCTGTCGTTTTGTTCTTCAGTCTAGTTGTGGAGGATGTCGCTTCACTGGACCATGTTGGTATTATCATTGTGCTCTTCCTGTGTGAGTCAGATCGGTCACCGGCCACTGGACAGACGCTCACAGCAACTCTTGGCAGCTCACACTGGCTGCCAGCCACTCACAGCAGCCAGGCTCCAGATCAAGCTATTGTTCACCATCTTAGCCGTAGAGGGTGCAACGTCACTGGCCCTCATGTGGGATCCGAACAAGGGCCCTGCTGCTCAGAGCTGGCGTCCCAAGCCAACTCTTAACCAACACGCCACTTGGCTGGCCCTATTTTGTTAGATTTTAACTAATATCCTTTTTCTGTTCCAGGATGCCACCCAGGACATTACACCACATTTAGTCGTCATGTCTCTGTAGGCTCCTCTTGACTGTGACCGTTTCTCAGACTTTCCTTGTTTTTGATGACTTGGAATTGTCAACAATTGAGGAGTGCTGGTCAGTTATTTTGTAGACTTTCCTTCAATTGGGATTTGTCTGATATTTTTCTTATGATTAGACTGGAGTTATGGGGTTTGGGGAAGATCACAGAAATAAAGTGCTGCTCTCACCACATCATATCAAGGGTACATGCTATCAATATGCCATATCACTGTTGGATGTTAACCTGGATCTCCTGGCTGAGGTGGTGTATGTCAGGTTTCTCCACTGTAAAATTACTCCTATGCCCTTTCCATACTGTACTCTTTGGAAGGAGTAGCCTATGTTTAGGGAGTGGAGAGTTATGCTCCATCTCCTCGAGGGCAAAGTATCTATATAAATTAATTGGAATTCTCCCATACTAGAAATGTGTGAAATTTCTATGAGAGCTTTTAAGATGCTGGAATTGATAGGCTTTAGACATGGGGAAACAACGATTGAGAGAAGTCAGGGATGACTGCCAGGCTACTGTGGAACCTTTGGCAAGGCCCCTTCCCTCTCTGGGCCTCCTCTGGAAATGGTTGGAATACTAGATCTTGGACATACTCCATGATTCTGATAAATGTTTTGGGGAGAGCATGGGAGCTTGGATGTCTCTGGTTCTGACCTGGGACTGCATTGTCAGAAGTGGGTAGAAGAGACTGGCCCAGAAAGGGGAACATCTTGCCTCAGGGCCAGAGCTGAGACTGCAGGATCCTGAGTCCAGGCATCTTGTGCAGAGGGAAGAGACACCTATGTGCAAAATCTGGAGCCAGTCCCAATGAGAAGTGGAGGGGAGGAGAAAGCAGCATAGGCAAAGGGCTAGGAGTGGGCCTGCTTGAGGTCAGCCTGGCAAGAAGATCCCAGCCAATCGGAGAGAGAGACGGCCAGGGTTCCATTGCCTCAGTCTGCTCTGCCGCATAATGTGACTCCCTTGCCCTCTCTAGAAGACCTCAGTTTTCCCAGCTGCAAACTTAGGCTAATCATGCTGGGGGATCAGCCCAGGAGAATCAACATGCTTAAGATCCCAAAATGGAGTCCAGCCATGAAGTAGACCTCTGAAGCCTGGCCTTCATCATGCTCTTCCCTTATTCCTCTTTGTCTCCCTAATCAAATCCCCAGCCCTTATCCTAGGATGTGAGGCTCCTCTTCACCCACCCTGGAAGAGAGGTCCTCTGGCTTCAGGGACACTGTTAGGAGCCAAGTATGAGATTCTAAAATACTGGGTTGTCGGAAAAGTCATGACGCATTTTGCCACAAAAAACATAGAAAAAATATGTCATGACTTTTCTGACAACCTAATAGTTATCCAGGGTGCTCATGTCCTGCACTGAGGCATGGGAGGCGATGATGTTCCTTGCCTGGAGTGGTATCTTGTTCCCTGTGCCCTCACTACTCAGTGTATTGTGTGGCTTCAGGTCCTGCCCAGTCTAGGCCTCCAAAAGGAATGGGCTGTCCTAGAAGGTCTTTAAGGTCACATCCAACTCCAAAATATAGTCTTTGCTGAAGACTAGAGAAGATGGGACCCTAAACAGAAACCAAGAGGAGGAAGAGGAGGAAGAGGAGGAGGAATCATGGACCCAATGTGCACCAGGGCTTGTTCCCATGCTGAAGTTAATTGTCTTTGTGTCCTTCACAGCTCACCCCCACTCCTCTGCAGCAGAGGGCTCTGCTCCTGGGGGTGAAGTTCCCAGGATTTCCTGGGGCCAGACCTTTAAACCACCCGCTTCTGTGAACAAAAGGAGATTGACAGGGACAAAAGTACAATAGATTCAGGACTATCTCTGTTAGGTCACCAAAAGGGCTGGCACTGGCTCCCTCAGTTGGGGTATGGAGGATGGTTAGGGAGGAATCCTATTATTCAGTAAACATTTATTGAGCGTCTACTGTATTACTGGTACTAAACTGGATGATAAGGATACATGGAAACAAGGAAACATGATAGACCAAGTCTTTGTCCTCCTGGAACCCAGAGTTTAAGACAAGTGTTAATACTTTTTATGCCACGGACCTGTTTGGTGATCTGGTGAAGTCTATAGACCTTTTCTCAGAAAACAATAACTTTTAAATGCATAAAATAAAATACCTTTGGTTACAAAAGAAACTAATTATATTGAAATATAGTTATTAAAATATGGAAAAAGCAAATATGTCCTGTAGTAATATATGCACTCCTTGTTCATCTATTGAATCATAAGATCCAATGGAGGGTCTAATAACTATCATGATTTTAAAATAGAGATGAGATGACATGATATTTCAAGCGACCTGCAACATCTATAATATGATATGAAAATCTCTGTGATTTCTATTGGTGACAGAGTCCCAGGTACTACGACTACTATGGTTTGTTACATTCTTTACTGGAAAAAAAAATTGCTAGATTTCAACTAGAGGAGGGGGGGGGGAAGATGTAATTCTTTTTCCCATGCCAATTCATGAACTCCAAACTCTGTCCCCAGACTGGATTGGAGGTCTGTGAACCCAAATTAAGAACCCCTGGTAATAGGAAGGTCCCTTCTGTCTCTCCTTCCTCTTAAACAGCTTTAGTTTGGAGGACAGAGCCTGGGTTTTATTCTGGGTCTTATTACTGTGTTACCTCAAGCCAATCAGTGTGCCTTTCTGGGCCATCGTTCCCTCAGTCTGAAACAAAGGGAAAGACAAGAATTGGGACGGGAGATCTTAACTATTAATGCTCCAGGTAATTAACTTGTGTTCTCTCATTTAATCCTCACAACGATAGTGTCAGGCAAGATTTTTAAATTATCTTCTCACGTCACTTAAGCAGTGTCTTAGTCAGCAGGGGCTACTGGCCAGGCCCCCATAACCCCCTTGTCCTCCATGAATGTAATTCGGAACTACGCACACTCTGAGCAAGAGAAACCTGGCTCAGCAAAACCCTGCAAGGAGGGTAGAGCTATAGGAAATTGGGAGCAGAGTCGTGTCTCTTAGCGGGGCGGTGGCTTAGCAAGGTGGCTTATGGAGAGTAAGACATCAAGAAGCGGGGATCTCTGATTGTTCAGTGACTCGCGCCAGGACCCACTTTGGGCTTCACGCTCGCGTGCTCCCAACTAACCTCTCGAAGCCCAGTGGAATAGACCTGCAAAGGGAATGACGAGACCTCCTCTCCTGGCCAATCCTAATAAAGGGTGGGCTTGGCTCGTCAGCCAATCAAAGGCCCCCGAAGAGGCGGAGTTTTCTTCCTCCTGGATCCGGCCTGGGGGGTAAAAATAAAATGTTTCCATCTCCAGCCAATCCCAGGGAAGGCAGGAGAGCACTCCTCCAATGGGAGCCCGGGAGCCGTAGGTAGCGGTGGAGCCTGCGACCCTGCTCGCCCTCGAGCGGGCGGGAGGGACTCGTCTAGGGTTTTCGCAAGATCCAACTGACAGCCCCTGAAATCTGCTCGCGCACAGAGTAGAGGGCTGCAGGTGTCCGGTGAGACGCGGTAAAGACCGGGGTTGGAAGCGCGGGGGGCAGGAGCGCATGAGGGGTGGGGCCTGGGCGAGCTTTTACCTGGGCGGCCTCTCAACCCTAGGTCAGCGGGTTGAGGAGGATCGTGCGGGTAGAGAAGAGAGGGCGAGTACCCCTGCGGCCCCTGACTGCGATCAGGTGAGTACCCTACGGAGACCATGGCCCATGCCCATCCTCCACGCCCCCTCCTCCCTGTCTCCTGGAAAACGGTTCCGTGCAGGTCTGCAGCTCACATGATCGTCAGCTTGCATGTCTGTAAGTCTCCATCTCTCTCTCTCTCTGCCCCGCCTTTCCCTCCTGTCTGTCTCTGTTTCTCTCCCTGTCTGAGACATACTAGACAACGCAGACCTAGAAGGCTGAACCCTGACCCTATCAATTAAAACTAGCCATGAGACCTTGAGCCATCTACTTCTCCCATCTGAACCTCAGTTTCCTCATCTGTCAAATGGGAGTCTAATAATCTCCACCTCAGACAATGTGCATCACTGCCCAGCGCCTGGCCCCTAGAAGATGTTCATAATAATGACAATCATGATTGAAAAGAATATTATCTCTCTTGGTCTTTGGCTTTTGTTTTCTCTCTGTCTGTCTCTGACCCTCCTCCCCCATTGGTTTTCTTTCTGAATGCTTTTTTCTCTGTTATTGTTTTTCCTCTTTCTACCTGTCTCTTTCCCATCCCTAAATAGGTTAGAGATGCATTGTTTACAGCAATGAGCGTGGCCTTGAGAGCACCTATGAGCTTTGCCTGGGGTTCTGGATTGTTCTATGGGTAAAAATGGAGTCTGGACTTGGGCTGCTTCTGGTGTCATTGAGAAGAGAACCCTCTTTATTACCCAGCCTCCTGTGTTAAACAGGAAGAGTCCGGCAGGGTGGGGAACAACTTAGATGAAAAAGTGGATCGGGCCCTTTATCCTATATCATGGTAGTCACCACAAGAAGACCAGGGGTCTCCAAGTTACATTCCCAAACAGCCCTTCTGTCTCCATCCTGAAATCTTTTGACCAGCAAAATCCCCTCCATCCTCACCCTGACTTCTGAATAGTCCCTTCGTTTTCTTGGCATGCCTTAGTGGTTTTCCTATCTGTTGGACTCAACACTCCATTTTTATAATGTATATTTTGAAATGCCCCCTTCGCTAATTCTGAAATGAGGTACATAGATAATAGACTCTGTCTGCACACATAATTTCCCCCAAACCAATACAATGTCCTAATTGCAATATGAGGGACAATTAAAGGAAGAATAATTTATAACCAAACAATATATATTTTAATATGTAAAGGCTGGGATAGAATTCCACTAGAAGACATAATGAAATGATCTTGCACATAATGATACTTGAACTTGGGAATGTGACAGCTACACGTGTGTTGATTGGTGACTCAGGAAACACAGGTAGGGTGATGCAACTTTCCTAGATGATGAAAATTCTTCATAAAGTTTTGAACAAAGTGCAATCTTCTCTGAATGTATAAAGTTGTTGAATTTCTGGAAAAGTCAGTATATATTAAAATCCATGATCTGGCCCCTGCAACCTTGCTGATCTTATCTCCTACCACTCTCCCCACTTGCGCCCTCTGTGCCACCCATCCTGGCCTCCTTTATGCTACTTGAACATATTGGGCACACTTCTACCTCAGGGGTTTGTGCTGGTTTACCCCCTGTACCTAGAATGCTTTTCTCCCATAAAACTCATGCCCTCACTTCCTTCAGGCCTCTACTCAGATGTCACTTTCTCAGTGAGGCCTACCCTGACCATCCTGCTTAAAATTACAGTTCTCCCCCAGCACATACCCTGCTCTATTTGTTTCATAGTGCTCTTCACCTTCTTACATAATAATATATATAATTCATATCTTTATTATGTTTGTTGTTTACTGTCTGACTCTCGCTTTCAATGGTAAGCTCTGGAAGGGCAGACTTTTTTGTGCCCTGATGCATCCCTGTTACCTAAAACAGGGCTTTGCATGTAGTAGGCTCTCTCAGTAAATGTTTGTTGAATGAATATATGAATGAATGAACAGGTTTTTCACCTACATGATTGACTGGTGGGACATTCTAAAGTTGTATGGGATGCAGTACAACTCTTTGCTGTGTGGAGCTGTCTTGTGCAGCTGAGCATCCCTGGCCCATGCCTGCTAAATGTCACTAGTGATCTCCAATTATTGTGATAATCAAAAATGCCCCCAAACACCCCTTGACTGTCCAACTTCCTACTGAGAACCACTGCTTGAATAGAAACCTGGCTTTCCCCTGAGTGCTCTGCTCCCGCAGCAGCCCCCTCATACCCCTTTTACCAGGAGGCCAGGAGATGAGAGTAGGTGTCCTCGCTCTAATTGCTCCTCCCAGACATTTTCTCTCCTTTCTCCTTAAACAATGCTTTTTAGAATTAATGTTTTTCTTTTAAAATAACTTTAGACTTCTAAAAAGTTGTAAACATAGTACAAAGAATTCCCGTATATCCTTTACTCAGATTCCCCAAATGTTAAGAAATTATACAACTACAGTTCAATCATCAAAATTAGGAAATTAACATCGGTACGATACTATTAATGAAAGTACAAACTTATTCGGATTTCATCAATTTTTCCACTAATAGCATATTTTTCTTCTAGGATTGAATCCAGGATCCCACATTGCATTTTGCTTTCATGTCTCCTTAGGTGCTTCTAATCTGGGGCAGCTCTTTCGTCTTTCTTTGTCTTTTATAATTTTGATACCTATAGAGTCTCAGCCAGTTATTTTATAGAACTTGGGTTTCTGTTATTTCCTTGTGATTATAGTAAAGTTATGGAATTTGGGCAAGAATACCACAGAAGAGATGTGTCTTCAGTGCTTTGTATCAGGAGGCACAAAATATCAGTTTGTCCCAATACTGGTTTTGTTCACTTTGACTGTTTAAGGTGGTGTCTGCCAGGTTTCTCCACTATAGTTTACTCTTTTTTCCTTTATAATTAATAAGTAGTTTGTGGAGAGATACTTTAAGATTATGTAAATATCAACCACCTTGTTTTAAATCTCAGATCATCAGACTATACCATTACCCACCTTCTGTGTTATAGTCAGGTACAGACATACACACATAACTGCCCCTGTCACTCCTCATTCCTAGACTTTAGCTACTAGCTCCCTGTCACGCTCTATAACACTGCCCCAGTCCTACTTCTTGGTGATTTAAATATCCTCATAGATGACCCTTCCAGTGTTCTTGTCTCTCAGTTCTGTGATCTGCCCTCCTACAATGCTCGTGCCTTTCAACCCCACCGCAGCCACCTACTCCAATAGTCATACCCTTCTCATCAGTCTCTGTGACAGCATTGCCTCCATAATCTCAATTTCAGGCATCCTGCAATCCATCCAGAACGGTTTATCCTTCTGGCTGTCTCCCTCTAGCACCCCAACTCCAACAGTCCTTCAGTGCCACTGGGATGGAACATTTTTCACTACTTTTTTCTTCCTCCATGTTCCCATGTCCTTCCTTTAATGAGCTTAGATTTTGTGGTTTACTGTTATAGGCATTCCCTTGTATACATCCTCACTTCCCTTGCCCTCTGTCATGTCAGCATACTTACCAGGCAAACCCCCAGTACTGGTTAAATCCAACTCCACCTACTCCACTGTACTCCTTAGGCCATTCACTCTCCCACCCTCCCAGATGACTATTTCGTCCCTTCTCTCTCTTCAAATCTCCAGCACCTCTTCCCCCATCCTATGCCCAGGCTGCCTACTTGACTGAAATATTGAAGCCATCAGAAGAACACCTCCACAGATTCCCACTATCACATCCAACCACCAAATAGCATCTGTACTCACATACTCTGCCTTCTTTTCTATTCTTATAGATAAACTGTCCCTGCTATCATCAAAGTCCAGTCCCTCCACTTGGGCACTAGATCCCATCCTCTCTTACCTACTTGGGGACATTGCTCCAACAATTTTCCCCTCTCTCTCCTGGATCAATTTATCCCTCTCTACAAGATCATTTGCATTAGCACACAGTTATTCTGTCATTGCTTCCATCTTTTTGTTACAGCTTTATTGAGATATATTTCACATACCATAAAATTCACCCTTTAAGTATATCCACAGAGTTCGCAACTATCACCACAATCTATTTTAGAACATTTTATCCCCCGCCCCCCAAAAAGAAGCTTCATACTCTTTAGTAGTTATTCCCCATCACGCCACTCCCCTCAGCCCTAGGCAACTACTAATCTACAAGTTCTGTCTCTATTTACTGATTTGTCTAGTCCAGACATTTCAGATAAATGGAATCATACAATATGTTGGTCTTTATAAGTGGTGTCTTTACTTAGCATAATAGTTTTTGTTGTTGTTTTTAGTATTATATTTATTAGTTTCAGGTATACAAAACAATGCAATGGTTATACTTTTCACCCCTCACAAAGTGACAACCCTCTTCTCCAATCCACCGTCCCCCCAATATCATACATATTTATTCCAATTCCATTGACTCCACTCCCCACACTATACTTCACATCCTGAGTACCACACCGTTTTAATTAATGTAGGTGTGTGGTAAGTTTTGAAATTAAAAGTCTAAGTCACTTTTAACTGGGTTATTTGTCTTTTCATTACTGAGTTGTAATTACTCTTTAAATCTTGGATACAAATTCTTTCTAAAATATATGTACTGTTCAAAACTTACCATAAAACTACAGTAGTCAGAATCTAGACAGAGAAAGACAAATGTCACAGGATCCACTTATATGTGGAATCCAAAAAACAAAATAAATGAACATACAAAACAGAAACAGACCCAGATGTAGAAAACAAACTGATGATTGCCAGAGAGGAGGTAGTTTGGGGGCAGAGTGAAAACGGTGAAGGATTAAAAAGTACAAATTTGGGCCGGCCGAGTGGCGCAATGGGTTAAGAGCTGGCTTGGGACGCCAGAGGGCCCCGGTTCGGATCCCACATATGAGGGCCAGTGACACTGCCCTCTACAGCTAAGATGCTGAACAACAGCTTAACCTGGAGCTGGGCTGTTGTGAGTCATGGGCGATGGTGTAGGCTGCAGACCCTGTGGCAGTGGGTTGCCATGGGCTACCATATGTAGCCAGCAGCCAGCATGAGCGGCCAGCAGCTGCAGTGAGCGGCCGTCCAGAAGCCGGCAA